CCTTTAGTATTGCCGAATGACGCCACCGGCGCAGCCGAGGAAGCGGAGGCAAAACTGTTGAAGCAGTGCCAAAGGTCCGCCATGCTGGGAAGCTCAGAGTTTTGGAGAAAGTGCAGCCACCGAGCGCACTCCCATGCGCAATTTGTAGGTGAGTGCGCGGTGAATATGGCAAGACATTGCGCCGAATGCGCCCGATCATCGGGCGGGTGGGTGTATGTAGGCGACCTCATTTGGAATATGATGAATGATGGAATCGCTCGCGCCACTAGTGCTTTTGCAATGCATGGCCTGACAATGTTGCCATCGGGAGAAATTGATATTCTAGGCATGAGGGCTGATGACATTCTGGTTCTTGATGAGACGAATGGAGCACTGGCGGCCTTTTTATTGAACCCAGACGCCTCGCACGACGCAGTCGTTGATGAGGAAAGCGTCATCCGCTGACTGTTCCGACCAGAGCGCTGCCTTTTTGGCTTGATTCGATTTCTATTTCCGGCTGCATGTCTTGCTATAAGTACAAGTGACACATGCGAGAGGCTGGAAGTTATCAACATTGCAACGCAATTTGTCCTTGAATATTTGCCGACAGTTCCAATTACGATGCCGTTGGGCAAAGGCATCATTCATGATGTATCGCCGGGAGGTGGATTCTGTTAGCTGTGCGCGAAGTGCTCTTCTTGTTCATGTCCGCGGGAATCAGAGTTGAATTTCCGAGATATGCGGTGCAGCGTGATCCGTGGTCCAGTCAAATCATGCAATATGCTGATGCTTTGGGCTGTCGGATCAGGTCCGCGGTCGAGTCATTTGACCTACTTCATGATTTGACCAAAGGATTTGGAAATAATGTATCGGAGACCGTGAGACGGAATTGCTCAGGCATCCAAGAGGATATTGTTATTATACACGCGTCTACGGAATCTCATTTTAGTGCCAAGATCTGTCTTGCCACCAGCCTTTTTGGAGTCTTCAACGCTGACAATGCCATTGGGTTTACCAATTGCTTTAAGAAAAAAAAAGGAGGATAGCGGCCCAGCCAATTCTCCAACAGAGACAATCCCAGCCGAGTCTTCAGCGGATGCTGCAACCGCAATCGTCGAGGAAACTACCCCGAGCGGCGCCGCCGCTCCGGGGCAGCGAACTCAGCGATGTCCTCGCCCAGCGTCGAGACCGAGGCGCCGGGGTGGAAGGCAGTCTTGTAGGGCCGCCCCCTATGCGCATGCGCCCGCCGGCCCAGCCGCGTCGGGCGCCAGCGTTGGCTGGGTCGATTATGAGGGGGCCCAGTCGTAGGCGGATGAATCTTGGACTGATGAGCTGATTGCTGAAAGACTGGCTGTAGAGCCGGGCGGCGGCCGCGCGAGCGATGGCGGCGGTCCCGGGTCGGCCATGGGCGGCGTCCACGACGCGACCGTCGACCGCGAAGACAAGAATCATCATGGAGAAGGTCAAGGTTACCATGCGCACGTGCCCCGGCATCAGCGAGTCAGAGGCCTTAGCAAGACGTGGCGCTGGTTGAGTTTGAACGAGTGCAACGACAAGTTCAAACGCGACACTGGGGTGTCAAGTACCTTGCCAGAGCCTCCGCCGCCGCCCACGTGCGAAGGCGAGGCCGCAGGAGAAGGGCCAGGGCATGGGCGAGCCAAGCGGCTGCAGTTCAAGCAGGAGAGAAAACGGACAGGACAATAACTCCAGGGATCAGAACCAGTGGCGCTGAAGCAACAGTGATCCATGGGGCGATTCTCGTGAATGGAGAGGTCGCTTGCAAAGGTGATGCAGCGCAATGGAACCAGTACGACATAGTCGACGCTGGTCCACGCTGCATCATGGAGCGGTTGCACCAGGTGTGCACGGGCACTGTGGCCTGAGCTGGAAATATTTGCTCAGGCTGGGCACGTCGGGTTTCTTCGGCCTTCCGAACCACCGTTGAGCGGTGAAATGCTTTTGGGGCTCGCTCCGGTGGCTGTGCATATGTGCAGGCCAGGTGGGTTGGGGGGTCGGGGCGGCTCTGCGGACCCCGCCGCGGGGGGAATCAACGCGCCCCTTCCGCATCACTAACCTTTCGCCCTGTCTGCTCTTTCTCCCTGCGCGCACTGCCTGTCGCGCTGACTGACTACTTCTGCTTCCGCAGCTATGCTGTTTTGGCTCTAGGGAAACGGAAGAGGAGCGAGCTTGCGGCGCGCGCGAGTACGTCGGCCGGCGGGCCGGCCTCTTCCTTTCAGTGTTACCTTGGTGTATGCTTGACGGCATTCTCCCTTCTCCCCCATGTCATCTGCGGAGCCCACTGGCCATGATATATGATCGGAACATCTAGCAGGGATTATGAATATCCAGGCAAAATATTGCAGCTGCCCTTCGAAAGCTCGAGGATGATGGCCCCCTGGGTTGCCGCCTTTGCCTTCGCCTCGGCAGCCTCCTTCTGCGAGGCGGCGAGCTTCTCCTGTTTTGCTAGGTATCGCTCGGACGTGTGCATTCTTCTCGGCGAGGACCATCGAGGGGCATCCTGGATCATCAGGAGGAAATGCACGCACGAAATCGAACAGCGCACGGGGCAAGGACGTCCGAACGATGGCCAGCTTGTAGCTGCAACCTTCTCCAGCCGCTGCAGCTTGCCGTTCTCATTCTGCAACTTGGTGAAGAGCCCGCGAACTTGTAAACGCAGCGGCTGCGTGGTACGCCTTTTCGCCAACAGACCAGCTTCGCATGCAGAGCGTCGGCTGCCACCTTCTCCATGCCCACGAGATTCAAGCACGCCACATGGATGTTTACCTGTGTCCCCAACCTGCGCCATGTGGATGGCATCTTTCGAGTCCTCGCTGGAGAAGCCGTCCGACACCGCCACCACGTCAGGACGCGCACCTGCTGGGGACTTGTGAGCCGCTGTCTGTCGCAAGTCAGCCACCCCTGCCTGCAACTGTGCCAGCAGCCTTGCGGTGTCAGCGTTGCCTCCCCCAGCCCCAGGGCGTGCGTGGCTTGCGGAAGGACGGTTCTTTTGGGCTCCAGGTTGCGTAAGAAGGAGGTTCCCTTGTGCATGCCACAACAGCCTGACTTGCCACGTCATCCACAGTACATTTTCGTACCATCATTAACCCATAGCTCGCCAGAGCAACGCTGAGTGCAAACACGGCATAGCCGACCATGCTTCTCGGATCCAGGCAGCGGCGCCATCCTTGCGGCAGGGCAGCAGTGCGAGGAACGGAAGCTAGGGGTTGACCTGGCGAGGATTTGTTCCACCAGGAGCTCATTGAAGACAAATGTCAGACTGGAACCATCTTTGCCAGCCGCGGCCTAACAGTATTCACGTGTCCCCCCATGAAACGAAGCATTTCGAACCAATATTTTTACACAGGATGAGGAGGATGCGGAGGAGGAAAATGAACTGGAGGTGGTGGAGGAGGAGGAGGAGGAGGAGAAGGAAGAGGAGGAGGAGGAGGAGGAGGAGGAGGAGGACGACGAGGCAGATCAGGAGGACTGGGTTGAGACGAGGAGTCGGATGAACGGATGATCAAGAGGAGGAGGAGGAGGAGGAGGAGGAGGAGGAGGAGGGAGGAGGAGGAGGAGGAGAGGAGGAGAGGAGGAGGAGGAGGAGGAGGAGGAGGAGGAGGAGGAGGAGGAGGAGGAGGAGGAGGAGGAGGAGGAGGAGGAGGAGGAGGAGGAGGAGGAGGAGGAGGAGGAGGAGGAGGAGGAGGAGGAGGAGGAGGAGGAGGAGGAGGAGGAGGAGGAGGAGGAGGAGGAGGAGGAGGGGAGGAGGAGGTAGGAGGAGGAGGAGGAGGAGGAGGAGGAGGAGGCGGAGGAGGAGGAGGAGGAGGAGGAGGAGGAGGAGGAGGAGGAGGAGGAGGAGGAGGAGGAGGAGGAGGAGGAGGAGGAGGAGGAGGAGGAGGAGGAGGAGGAGGAGGGAGGAGGAGGAGGAGGAGGAGGAGGAGGAGGAGAGGAGGAGGAGGAGGAGGAGGAGGAGAGGAGGAGGAGGAGGAGGAGGAGGAGGAGGAGGAGGAGGAGGAGGAGGAGGAGGAGGAGGAGGAGGAGGAGGAGGGGAGGAGGCGGAGGAGGAGGAGGAGGAGGAGGAGGAGGAGGAGGAGGAGGAGGAGGAGCAGGAGGAGCAGGAGGACGAGGAGGAGGAGGAGGAGGAGGAGGAGGAGGAGGAGGGGCAGGATGAGGAGGAGGAAAAGGAGGAGGAGGAGGAGGAGGAGGACAAGGAGGAGGAAAAACGTTGCCCAGAAATATGAAGCAGGGTGCTCGGAATCCTCCGTGGGACACGCTCCTATCCAGACATCCAGCGCTCCGTTTTTTCGATGCGTGGGCCCAGACCCCTCGACCTCTTATATGTGGACCCCGAGTGCCGAAACCGGCGTCCAGGAGCTGAACATGGCAGTACCTCTTTTTGTGTCCGAGGTTCCAGATGCTCAGTGGGCCCCTTCAAACGGCAGGGCCGGCTTTTACAGTCTTCAATACTTGCCGCTTGACAGCGAAAACGGCAAAACACGGTTCAGCGAAACAGTACAAATCGGCTCACCGAAACGGCTTGGGCAGTCTCAGGATCGGAGGAATGTCCAGAGCGGGTTCGAAAACCGCTCGGATTTGGTAACACAGCCGTGATCTGGACCAGGCCCCCACCAGGGGAAACGCAAGCTGTAAGACAACGGCGCCGGAATCGTCAGAAGCACGTCGCCAGACACGGTAAGAGACAATCATAAGAAAACGGCAGCAAACGGCCCTGTCGCTTCCAGGGCCCTTTAAGCCCTGGTGGCTGTGGGAGAGGCCAGAACTGATGGGCCTGTTTTCCACCACCACCACCACCACTATCAGAAGTTGGAAGGGGAGAGGGTCCTCCACCTCCACCTCCTCCTCCTCCTCCTCCTCTTCGTCCTCCTCCTCGTCCTCCTCCTTCCGCCCTCCAACTTATGGTGGTGGTGCTGCTAGTGGCGGAAAACAGGCCCATCAAGAACGACGCAGCCCGCCAGTGGGGTCCCCCTCGCCGGGGGCGTCCGCGGATCGGCCGTGGCAGCCAGATCTATCGCGTCGTGATCGAGGGGCGGCCCGACTTCGAGGGCGTGGACGTGGCCGTCCGGAGGGTGCGCCTCGCCACCGCCCCTCGCCGCCGCTGTCGGGAGCCACACAAGAATCAAGCGTATACCTCCTCCTCCTCCTCGTCTTCATCCTCCCCCTCCTCTTCTCCTCCTCTTCTCCTCTTCTCCTCCTCCTCCTCCCACCTCACCATGTGAGAAGAGGAACTGCTGAAAGCTCCTCCCCCTCCCCCTGCTCCTCCGCCTCCTCCTCCTCTTCCTCCTCTCCCTCCCACGTTGATGTCGAAAGTTCGCATTCTCTTCTTGAAGACCGACCCGATCAAGCTCATTCGATAGTTCGAGAGGGCCTTGAGAAGAGTTTGTCGGAACTGATGTCGGCTCTCAGCGATGCGCGCTCTCTTTATTTTGAACGTCGTGCTGACTTATCTGGCAGAACCTAATGCTGTCACCGGGTCCATCATCCAGGGCCTCAGAGGTGGCGCCAAAAATGCGCGCATTGTGGCGCGCAGCGTGATGCAGCAGCTGTGCGTCGCCATCCCTCGCCGCAGTCATCGGCTTTAGTCGGGCGATCCTTCTCAGTCCATGAACGGATCGCAGCGCCGGCTCCATCGCGACATGGTCGCGCGCGTGGCCGACGCCGCCGGAGCGCTGGCCGAGTAGGGCCTTCGCTTCGCCGGCAAGTCAGCCACTGCTTGCAGCAGGCATTCCTCGGCGCAGCACATCGCTCGCGCGCTTAGGCGCAGAGGAGTGCAGAACGCTGCTGATCGTCCCTGTAGTTCCTTGGGCGTCATCATAGGCTGCGGCAGGGCGCATGCTCGAGCTCAGCGAAGGAAGAGGGTCGCGAAGCATGCGGCTCGCCATGGCAAGGCCAGGCGCTTTTCATATACACTACGCGAGGCCAAGCTGCCAGCCCGACTTGAGACCCGAGGCGGACAGGTGGTAGACAGCTATGGGTTGCAGCTACACGGTACTTTCGGTCAATATCTCACGACGCATCGTCGCACGTTGCAAGCCGCATGTCTGGTTCGTGCCAAGGGGAGATGCTTGACCACCCTTCTCGATATCGTGCTGCCTGGCAAGGATCCAGCAATGCATGTGGCGCATGGCACCTTCGCCCCCTGGCTTCAGCAGTGGCGCCATCACCCTACTTTACATCCCGTTGTGGCTCAGGCATGACCCAAGGCAGTCAACCTCTTGGAATCCATGGGGCCATGCCGACGCCCGCGCCATATTCGGGGGCCGAGAGTTCCTCAGGCAAACGGCATTGATAATTCTGACGAGTTCTTGAGGGATGTCGATCCGACAGCCGCGGCGCCTCACTGGGCTAGCGCAACCAAGCGTTCTGATTGTGGAGGGCTTCAGCAGGGTGCATATAATTTCACGTCGAGGAAATTGCTAGATCAGCTTCATTCGGTCAAGGCAGGTGGGGCTCGCATTGCTGGCATGCTTCTCCTGATTGCTGCCGGAGGCACGTGGCCCCGGAAGCGGAAAAGGGGAGTATCAGTATGTCGGCAAGTCTTTTGTGCCATCGTTGTGGCGAGGCTGAGGGGGATTTTCCGCGTCGCATTTGGACTTGCCGATGTAACGCGGGCCCCCAGCGTTCACCGCCATTGATCACCTTGTTCCAGCGGCTGTTGCCCGAGGCTCATAGTCTGAGTGCTTCTGGCTCAGAGGCCTCATTCCGAGCCCGTGGACGAGGGTGCCTCATTCCATTCTACAAGACGGTTTGGAATGTTTCGGCCTTCGTGCGTCTGGTCCGTGTCGGGGCTGTATATGGAGCTCGGATGAGGTCGCGGTGGCGTTCGGCGATGCAAGTGGATGTGCCGACGCTGCCGACCCTCGACTTCGGAGGGTATCTTTGGGCATCGCCACCTTGAGCTCCTACGACCCGCCAGTCGTCTCGTTTTATGTCGCAGGAGGCCTGGCTGGTTTCCGACGGGCAGCTTCGCGCGGCGAGTTTCGAGCGGTCTGGCTGGCTTTTTGCATGATTCAAGGGCCACTTCATTATATTACGGACTGTGAACCAGTATACAAGGGTTGGCTTGACTGGAGATATCTACATCCCAGTGGGAGGGATGCAGACTAATGGGCCCATATTCAAGTCTTGATGAACCAGCGTGACGAAAACACTGTGAATGTGGAGTTCATTCATTCTCGCATGTCTGCCCATGATACCGTTCGGGGTTAGGCCCTCGGTGGGAGGTGATCGGTAAGTCAGTGATAGATGATCTCGTCGGCAACGAGGCTGAACGTATTCGTATTCCCGCAGCGGAACGTCACGCATTGCAGAATATTGAACACCAGGCTGTCTTGGTGCGTCACAAGGCCGTCCTGGTGACCCTGATGGCCTTGAGCGCCGAGGCCAAGCAGGAGGCGGCGCAGCGTGCGGAGGATCAACACAGGGCAGGCGGCAGGATCGTGAGTTTCCTCTCCCTCCTCCTCCCCCTCCTCGTGTACCTCCGCCAACGCCCCGCGTCGTCTCGACCCTGGGGACTTCCCGTGTGTTGGACGACAGGGAGCGTATATGCAAGCTGTGTTTGGGGTCTGCGTCCTGGGCCACGATTGAGGATTGGAAACGGATCCCGTGCTTCTTTCCCCAGTATATCAATGGGGAGTTTATCACCATTCTTCCAGGAGGGACACTTCATGTTGCTGGGGACTGCGTGCGCGAAACGCATAGTATGAATTTAGTGCGAACGAAGTTCGACCTCTGGTTCTGTGCAAGTTGTGGGGTCTTCGCAAGCTAGAAGAACCTTCAGCGGCCACCCCCACTGCGGAAGAGCTTTAAACCGGATCGACCGTGGCCAATGGCCGAAGGCCCAAGGCTGCGCCAAACAAGGCTCGACAGGAGCCTGACCCCGATCCCCTCCTCCTTGGGTAAGGCCGTTTTTCATTTAGTGAACAGACATCAAAGTATCATTATCCTCCTCCTCCTCCTGCTCCTCCTGCTCCTCCTCCTCCTCCTCCTCCTCCTCCTCCTCCTCCTCCTCCTCCTCCTCCTCCTCCTCCTCCCCCCCCAACCCGCGGCAGTCCCAGCTGGCCTCAACAGGCCCCCCGAGGAGTCCCAGCTGGCCTCAATGGGCCCCCCGAATGGTCTGTGGCAGTCTCGGCGCCGTGGCGCCGCCTCCAGCGGCGCCCCTGGGGCACTCCGCGCCCCGGGTTTGGGGTGCTGAGGAGGGGGAGGAGAAGGAGGAGGGGAGGAGGAGGAGGAGGGAGAGGATGAGGAGGAGAGGCGGAGGCGGAGGCGGAGGAGGAGGAGGCGGAGGAGGAGGTGGAGGGAGGGAGGGCGGGAGGGAGGGAGGGAGGGAGGAGGGAGGGAGGAGGAGGAGGGGAGGAGGAGGGGGAGAGGGGGGGAGGAGGAGGAGGAGGAGGAGGAGGAGGAGGGGAGGAGGAGGAGGAGGAGGAGGAGGGAGGAGGAGGATAAGGAGCAGGAGGAGGAGGAGGAGGAGGAGGAGGAGGAGGAGGAGGCGGAGGCGGAGGCGGAGGCGGAGGCGGAGGAGGAGGAGGAGGAGGAGGCGGAGGGGGGGGGGGGAGGATGAGGAGGAGGAGGAGGAGGAGGAGGAGGAGGAGGAGGAGGGAACAGAGGAATAAGAAGAAGAGGAATCAGAATACGAAGACGAATATGAATACTAAGAATAATAAGACGAAGACGAAACATAAGACGACTACTAATAACACTGACACCAATACTAGTACTAGTATTATTTATTAATAATAATAATATTAATACTATTAATGTTAATATTGTTAATACTACTAATACTAAAACTAATACTACTACTAATAATAATAATAATAATAACACTACTACCAATAACACCAATAACAATACTAGCAACACTACTACTAATACTACTAATATTAATAATACTACTATTAATAACACTAATTTTCATACTACTACTAATAATATTACTATTAATAATATTTAATCGCTTCGCTCATTCCGCCGGCCCATATTGTCGCACAGTTGTGGGCTAGCCGAGTTTTGGGGCCTCTTGGGGGCCGTTTTGGGGCCTCTTGGGGCCTCTTTTGGGCCTCTTGGGCGCCTCTTGGGGCGTCTTGGGGGCCTCTTGGGGGCCTCTTGGGGCCTTTTTGGGGCCTCCTGGGCGCCTTCTGGGGCGGAGGGCTCGATTTTTCAGTTCTCGGTTCCCCTCTTGAGCCCCTCTTGGGCCCGTCTTGGGGCCTCTTGGTCCGTCTTGGGCGGCACTTGGGCCGTCTTGGGGGCCCTCCTGGGCCGTTCCGGGGCCGTCTTGGGAGCCTCATGGGCCGTCTTGGAGCGGTCTTGGGGGCCTCTTGGGCCGTCTTGGAGCGTCCGGAAGCCGAAAAAGCCAGAACGCAAAAAACAGCGAAAAAAACAATGAAAATCAACGATTTTGGCCTCTTGGGGCCCTCTTCGGAGGCCTCTTGGAAGGCCCTTGGGGCGTCTTGGAGGCCTCTTGGGCTGTCTTGGGGCCCTGTTGGGCGTCTTCGGGCGATCTTTGGCCGTCTCGGGGCCCTCTTGGACCGTCTTGGAGGCTTCTTGGGGGCCTCTTGGCCCGTCCTGGGGCCCTGTAACAGGGCTCCGGCATCTCTGGCCCGACCTTGCGGGGACCTTGCCGGGGACCTTGCCGGGGACCTTGCCGGGGACCTTGCCGGGGACCGGCCGGGACCTGGTCGGGGTACTTTTCGTCTGGGGACCCCCAGGGGCCGCCCCGCGCGCGCGAAGTAGAAACATTGTAGAGCAGTTACCGGAGATCTTAGCACGCCTACTAATAATATTACTATTAATAATATTACTAATAAGAATAACAATATTAATGATAATACTAATACTAATCATCATAATAGTAATAATATTAATACTGATATTAATACCACTATTAATAATGACAGTAATACTAATACCAATAGTAATAATACTATTAATAATACTATTCATACTATTAATAATATTCATAATACTAATGCTAATAATAATAATATTACGAGCAATAATAAGACTACCACGACTATGAAACAGAACCAGAATATGACGAATACGATGCAGACGAATGATAAACATACGA